TGCATCTCTAGTGCCCCTCCCTAGAGAAGCACAGCCATCATTGGCAGGGGTCGAAACTGTAGCAAGAGGGTGCACAGCTAGAAGCCCATGGATCCTGGTTTCCAAACCAAGCTGACAAAAAAAGAAGTCCCTGTGTCCCTAAGGCCGGGACTACTCAGCCTTGATTCTACCATCAAATCTGTTATTACAATAATTAGCTGTGTGTGTGTGTGCATGATGTATGTTTGTGGGTAACTAGGTCAAGGTCATAGGACAACTAACTTTGTGGAGACGGTTTTCTCCCTCCACTTTTACCTGGTCCCTGGGATCCAATTCCACACTCACACAGCAAACACTTACCCACTAAGTCATCACACCGATCCCTACTATTTATATTTTTAAAGGTCTTATTACATCCGGGTGGTAATGGTGCACGCCTTTAATCCCAGCACTCTGGAGGCAGAGGCAGGCGGATCTCTGTGAGTTCGAGGCCAACCTGGTCTACAAGAGCTAGTTCCAGAACAGACTCCAAAGCTACAGAGAAGCCCTATCTTGAAAACCAAAAATAATTGAATAAATAAAAAGGTCTTATTATATAGCCCTGGCTAGCCTGGAACTCCCCCAGACTGGCTGCAAATTCCCACTGATTCTCCTGCCTCAGCTTCCCCAGGGCAAGGGTTACAGGCATACATCATCTTATGCCGGGTTAACTCAGTGTTGAGATTCGAGTATGCTAAGGCAAACATTCTACCAACTGAGCTACAACCCTCCCTCCCCAAATTATCTAGCTATTTTTGGAAACAGAGTCTCTCTATATGTAGCCCTGGCTAGCCTGGAACCCACTATGAAAGCCAGGCTGGCCTTCAAACTCGGGTCAGTCCTGATTCCTCAGCCTCCCTGCTGCTGGGACATACGTACACCGCCACATTCCATTTATGTGGTGCCGGGATAAAACCCTGAGCTTTATCTGTGATGCTACTAGACAGACAAAACCCTACCAGCTGAGCTACAGTCCCAGCCCTATTATTTATTTTTCTTCTTGGCACAGAGTCTCACTATGCAGCCCAGGCTGATTTCAAAACTCGCAGCGATGCTCCTGTCTGGGCTTCACAGCGTGCTGGGACTGCAGGCCTGGGCCAAAGTGCCCGGCCCCCGACCAGGACGTTAGCCAGAACCACGGGAGTGCAAAGGAGAGCACCCGGGGCTCCACCACCCACCTTGGCGTCCAGCGTGCGCTTCAGCTCCAGCATGTAGGAGAACTGCTCCGGGTAGATGTAGTCGTACGGGAAGTAGACCAGCAGTCCGTCCACGTTGAGCCTGGCGGCGGCGAAGCGTCATTGCCCGGTCGGGCCACCCCGGCCTCCGTGCCGCCCGCCCGCCCCCGCGGCGTCTCCCCGCCACGGACCCCGAAGCCACCAGGGCCGGTCTCCGCAGCCTCTCCGCGCCGCGACCCGGCCCCGGCCCCAGCGACGCCCACCGGCCGCCCCATCGCCCACCGCAGAGAGGACCGCTCTCCCGAACCCCCCCTTCTCACTTCATGGCGGCTTGCCCCGGCGTCCACTTGCCCGCCTCATGAATATTCAACGAGGGGGCGTGAGTTAGAGACGCACCTTCCTCGCAATGCTATTGGCTGAGCCTGCTCGTCACTCCGCCAATCGGAAGATTGGCGCGTGCGCACGGAGGCGAGAGGGCGGGCCCCGGGGATAGGCGGTGCCAAAGGCATCGCCGAGGATCGCCGACTACTGGGAACAGAACGTGGAAGAGAGCCGAAAGAATCGATCCAGCTCCTTGACGTTAGCTCTTCCAGATTCTGTCCTGGTTGTCGAAGTAGTGAACAGAGTTTAGGGGAGAATAACAGAGAAACAGGAGGCTTTTCGGATCCTTCAGTTACAGTGGTTTAGTTGTACCAGACAAGCAGGGATTTATAAAATTCGTGTCCAGACTTAACGCAAGAAATCTAAAAACAGCCTCTCCCATTTGTTTGAGAACCTACTCTAGCCAGACTCTAACATTTATTAAGGGGCGGGGGGGAAACCACTCAGTGGTTAAGACCACTTTCTGATCTCGGAGAGGACTCCCAAGCACCCCACATCAGGCAACTTACAATCGCCAGTCACCGCTAGCTCCAGGGGATCCCACACCTCTGGCCCCTGAGCATACCTGCATTTAGGCGCACAGACACTCTCTGGAGGCAGAGACAGAAAAATCATCCTTGGCCACTTAGTGAGTTCAAGGCTAGGCTAAACTGTATGAGAATATTGTTTCAAAAAGAAAAATCCAAAAACCAACCAACCAACAACAATAAATACATACATAATAAGAAAGCACTTTACCAACTGCGCTATCTCCCCCAGTGCCTTCTTTTAATCACGGTTTATTATTTATTTATTTTGGTTTTTCAAGACAGAGTTTCTCTGTAGCCCTGGCTATCCTGATACTCGCTCTGTAGACCCAGCTGACCTCGAACTCAGAGATCCATTAGCTTCTGCCTCCCAAGTCTGGGATTAAAGGTGTGCACCACCGCCACCAGGCACGTTTTCTATCTTTATTGTGTGGGTATGTGTGTGAGGGAAAGCATGTGAAGGCGCACGTGTGGAGGGAAGAGGAAGCCTGCAGAAGTCAGTTCAATACTCTCCTTCTCCCATGTGGGGGACTTGAACTCAGGTCAAAAGGCAAGAGCCATCTCCCAAGCCCCCACCTCCTCCCAATCCCACGTCCTACCCTCTTTTGACACAGCCTCAGTATGTAAGCAAGGCTGGCCTGGAGCTCACTGTGTAGCCAAGGCTAGCCTCTGTCTTGTGACTCACCAACATTAGATTCCTGAGGACTGGAATGACAGGTGGACAATGCTGTCTGTTATTTCTCTGCCCTGGAAAGCTGCTTCACTTGATATCCACACCAAGTCGCTCAAACCCCTTGCTCAAATGGCACCTCACTTCTTTTCTTTCTTTCTTTCTTCTTCTTCTTCTTCTTCTTCTTCTTCTTCTTCTTCTTCTTCTTCTTCTTCTTTTTCGACACAGGGACTCTACTTAGCTCTGGCTGTCCTGGAACTCACTCTGTAGATTAGGCTGGGCTTAACTCACAGAATCCATTTGCCCCTGCCTCCCTAATGCTGAGATTAAAGATGTGTGCTATAATGTCTGGCTATTTTGCTTTCTAACTATTTTATTTTATGTGTATGAGTGTTTGCCTGCATGCACTTATGTGTATCAGGTGTATACCTGGTGTCCGCGGAGGTCAGAAGAAGGAATCAGATCCCCTGGTACTGGAGCTATGGATGGCTATGAGCCACTATGTGGGTGCTGGAAACCAAACCCAGGTCCTCTGCAAGAGCAACAGTGCTCTCAACCACTGAGCAATCTCTCCAGCCACTTTCTTTCCTTTTAAATTATATTCTATTTCTTTATGAGCTACATGGGCATTTGCTGTGGCTGTCTGAGAAGAACTTACAGGAAGCTTCTTCCCTTCCACTGTGCAGATCCTGGGACATGAACTCAGAGTTTTGGAAGTGGTAAGTACATTGACCCATTGAGCCATCTCATCAGCTTGCAGTTGTCTTTGCTTTTTTGTTTGTTTTAGAGACAGGGTTTCTCCCTGAAGCTTTGGAGCCTGTCCTGGAACTCGCCCTGTAGACCAGGCTGGCTTCAAACTCACTGATATCTGCCTGCCTCTACCTCCCAGGTGCTGGGATTAAAGGCATGTGCCACCACTGCCCAAGTCCTCAAATGAAACGCATCCTTTGCACACACACTGGTGGCAGTTAGTGAAGAAACTTGTCTCTTGGTTTGAGATTTCACAGTTCTTGATCATGGATGAAACCACCTTGTGGGTCAGAGTCAAGCCCAGCCAGACTCTAATGGGTCAGCGATGGGCAGTACCTAACCATGTCCAGCCGCTCAGTTACACACACCTCTCGTCCTCTCAACTCAAACCTCTCGTTAGGACCCTGAAGATGGACTTGGAGGAAGGTGTAGTGATGAGGCGAGCAGGCCTGCTTTTCATCCCGCCTGACTCCTACATGGTTAGCTTTACACCCAAAATAACAACACACAAATTGTATTCTTTTAAACATTGCCTGGCCCATTAGTTCTAGCCTCTTATTGGCTAATTCTCACATCTTGATAAACCCATTTCTAATAATCTGTGTAGCACCATGAGGTGGTGGCTTACCGGGAAAGATTCTAACCTACATCCGTCTCGGGTTGAAAAAGCATGGTGTCTGTCTCACTGCCTTCTTCCTCCCAGAATTCTGTTCTGTCTTCCCTACCTACCTATGTTCTGACCTATCAGGCCAAGCAGTTTTCTTTATTAATTAACCAATGAAAGCAACAGATAGATAGAAGACCCACCTACATCAGGAAGGTGCACCAGACCTTTTCATTTTTCTTTATTTCCCTTCTAAACATCTTGACTCACTGGGCCTTTCTCATTTGTTCCACTTCCTAGTGTGGTCAGAAGATTAAAATGTTTTTCTTTGCTAAGAAATTAATGAACTCAATAGAAGTTGGTCATGGTGGGGCAGATATATCACCCTCAGCTCCTCTGGGGTCTGAGGCACGAGGATTACAGGTTTAAAGGTAGCCTAGATTGCACAATAGATAAAATCCTGTCTCAAAGTCTTTAAAAAACTGGGCATGAGCAGGGAGGCGGTCCACACCTTTAATCCCAGCGCTCAGGAGGCAGAGGCAGGAGGATCTCTGTGAGTTCGCGGACAGCCCGGTCTACAGAGTGAGTTCCAGGACAGCTAGAGCTACAAGGAGAAACCATGCCTCAAAAAACTTAAAAAAATAAAATAAAAATAACCTGCGTGTGGTTGCATTCATCTTTAGTCCAGGTAGAGTTGTACAGTTAGACATTGTCTCAAAAAATTAACAATAAAATAAAAATATTAGACTTCCGTGTGACACTCTGTGAGAAGTACCTTGCTGAGGTTTGTGGCAAGTTAACAAAAGCTAAGCAGTCCCTCTGGAGCACAGACAGCATTCTTGGAGTCTGAACATAATCAAAATGAAATTCATGTCTGTGCAAACAACCTTTATTTATAAAGGAAACAGTTCCCATGTCATTACAAACATAAGCCACACGGGTGTGAAGGCACTTGGTTGGGGAGGTGGGGCGCTGACATCCTGCTAAGGAGCCATGCGCCTCACCCAGGCCCCAAGGCTGCTGGGAGGAATGGGGAAGGGAGGACAGCAATGAAGGGGTGGGTCACCCTGCCAGCGTCAGCTGTGACAGCGCAGTGGCTCGCTGGTAGTTAGGAGGTTCTTTGAACCAGATCTGATTTGGCAAGTGTGCATGTGGGGTCTCCTGCCCACAAAGGTCCTCAGCCCCACCTCACCCCAATGCCTAAGGTGGCTTCCTAATCTTAAGTCTGGGGCTGCCCTTCCTCGAGCGTCTGGAAGAACGAGAACTTCTGGTGCAGGCTGCACCCCTCTGGAGATTAGGGCGAAAGTAAACTCAGCAGTAGCTGGATTAGGAAGGTCCAGGTGGAAGGCAGGCTGGCTTGCACTTTTCTTCTTGACAATCGTCCTTCATTCCTGCTAGATCTTGCTCCTCTGAGACTTCACCCTAGGGAAGAGCTGAAGGGAAGGAGACCATCAGACACCAGGAGCCCAGCCTCATTTATCCCACCCTCAAGAAGGGGGCTGCCATCACACCACCAGCCACACCCTGGCAAGGAGCAGGAAGACATGTGGGAACATGGACTTTCCTGAGTGAAAGGGATCCCCTTTACCTGTATCATAGCACAACCAATAATGGATTCTTCTAGAGTCCATCACAATGAACTGTGTGTACGTATGTGTGCAGATGTGACAGAGAGACTGGAGAGAGAGAGAGAGAGAGAGAGAGAGAGAGAGAGAGACAGGAGAGAGGAGAGAGAATGAGGGAGGAAGGGAGGGAGGGAGGGAGGAGGGAAGGAGGGAGGGGGAGAGAGAGGGGGAGAGAGAGAGGGAGAGAGAGAGAGGAGAGAGGGAGAGAGAAGCCTATTTGTAGCCAAGGCTGACCTAAAACTTACTATGCAGCCCAGGCTGGCCTTGAACTCTTAGCAATTCCCCTGCCTCAGCTTCCAAAGTAGTGGGATAACAAGAAATGCCTGGCTCTTTCTCTTTCCTGAGAGCAGCCTGGCCAAACCCATTAATAGGCTCCCACTGGGTCCCCTCTGGCTCACCCCAAAGTAGTTGCGTGGCACATAGCCCTCCTGGCCATGTAGCGAAGCCCACCACCAGTCGGTCTCCTCTGGCCCGTCCCTCCGTAGCACGGTGACTGACTCGCCCTCCCGGAAGGACAGCTCATCCCCAAACTCAGCACTGTAGTCCCAGAGTGCGTACACAACACCGTTGTGCATCAGTCCCATGCTTTGCTCGACATCTGAAAATACATAAAGTCAGGCTAGGGCCAGGGACACAGCCACACAGGGGCCAGGGCCAGGGCATGACCCCTGCTGCATGCAGCAGAGAAAAGACACCTGGAAAGCTGCCTGCCTCTGCCTGTGGGTGGGGGTGAGGTTGGAATGGGCAGCCTGCCTTCACTCAGAGTCAGCAGCTAAGATCACTTATGTATGTATTTTATGTAGACGGGGGCTTTGTCTGCATGTACATCTGCACACCAGAAGAGGGCAACAGATCCCACAGAACTGCAGTAACACGGCTGTGAGCCGCCAGGGAACTGCCAGTGTGTGTGGGGGGGTGGACTGAACTCAATCCTCTTAACTGCTAAGTGATCTCTCCAGGCCCCCACCCCACCGTCTTCTTTAAAGGTAGGCAGGGTCAAATGTGTCTCAGGCTGACCTTATACTATGTATATAGGTCAGGATGGCCCTGAACTTCTGGTCTGTCTGGCTCCACCTCCCAAGCCGTGGTGTCACAGGTGGGATCCAGCACGCCCAGTTTACGCAGTACTGGGAACAGAACCCAAAGCCTCTGTCACGCTGGGCAAGCGCTCTACTGGCTGAGCTCCATCCACACACACCACCACCCTCCCCCCTTTAGAATCTATTACTTTTTTATTTTGTGTGCATTGCAGGTACATCTGTGTGAGAGTGTCAGATCTCGGGGTTACAGTTGTCATTCGTCCCACCCCAGCTGGTTTCCAACTACGATCCCCCTGCCTTAGGAACGGGCTTGCATGCCTGGCCCCCATCTCTACCTCATGCAGTGTTAAATCCTTCTGCTCCATGATCCCTAATGTCAACCTATGACGCGATCTGCCTCTCCAGGTGTCCAAGAGAGACTACAGGCAAGCCTCTGGCGCGGTCTATCCTGGCTGTCCCCCTCATGAAGTTTAGTCTGGTCCCCGGAGTGACCTGATGTGAGCTCGGGCACATCCACGAGTGTCCCAGCCTCTAAACAGCTTCCCACAACAGTTGTCAGGATGTTTGTTTTCATTCTTGAGACAGGGTCCTGCTCTGTAGCCCTGGCTAGCCTGAGCTTGTTATGTAGACCAGGCTAGTCTCCAACTCATAAAGATCTACCCGCCTCTGACTCCCTAGAGCTGGGAATACAAGTGTGTGCCACCACAGCAGCAGGATGGCATATTTGGCATCTCAGCTGCTCACCCCTCAGGTGGAATCCAGGTGAGTTGTACAGTCTGAATGATACAGCTCCCAAGTCTCTACCCACCCACGTGCATCTGCCAGGTGGGTTATGCAGCCCCTACCCTCCCACCCCCACCTCAGGCGCGGCCTCACACCTGCCAGGTAGGTGGCACAGTCTGCATAGCCCTCTCGGTAAGGGTCGCACTTTTCGATGGCAGTGGCGCCGTCACTGAGAGTGGTGGCAAAGATGGCCGCACCGTGCTGTACCAGGGCGGTGCAGATGGCAGTGTCGTTGCATGAAGCTGCACAATGCAGCGGTGTCCTGGCGGCAGAGGAATGAGTGAGAGCGAGGTCTCCGTTGGTAGCGCCACCCCACTGCAAGTGCCCATGCCAAAGTCCTGCCTACCTCCCAGCAGGGGCATGTTGAGGACTCACCAGCCATGGCTGTCAGGGGAGTTAACATTGGCGCCCGCGGCGATGAGGAAGTCCACAATGGGGTAGTTGGCACCGCAGATGGCGTTGTGCAGAGCAGTGATGCCCTCCTCATTGGGCTGGCTTGGGTCATTCATCTGGGAACAGGAAGAGAAGGATTCAGCCCCGCCTGTCATCCTGTGCAATCCTTACACTGTCACGTGGGGGGAGGTTGGGAGGGGGAACGACACCTTACCTCCTTCACCGCCTGTTGTACCACATCCAGCTCCCCGGTCAGCGCTGCGTCCAAAAGCAGCACCAGCGGGTTGAGCCGAGCTCGCCGGGCCTTGCGCGGGGACCCCACTTTGCGCAGTACTGAGCGCATTTCCTACAGGACAAAGTGGGGCTTCAGTGACAACTGCCCACCCACACCTCAGTGGGAGAAACAGACCAGGGGCCAGGGCACCCCAAGGTCAGGAGGATCCACACCTAGGCAGGGAGGTGTGAAGGTACAAGGGCTGGCTATGCCCTTGTCCATCGGTCCTTTACAACTATCAGGTCCTCCTATGACTTTGGAATCCAGAATCCTGAGAGCTTAGAGCAAGTTAAGAAGGCATGGGGTAGGTGGCAATTATTCCTATAAGACAGCATCATAGTGCATGTCCACAATTTCAGTACTGGGTGGCTGAGGCAGGAGGACAACCTAGAGCAAGGTGGTGGTGGCCCACGCCTTTAATCCCTGCACTCAGGGGGCAGAGGCAGGCAGATCTCTGTGAGTTCCAGGCCAGCATGGTCTACAAGAGGTAGTTCCAGGACAGGCACCAAAGCTACAGAAAAACAAACAAAACAAAACAAAAACCCACAAAAAACACAAAGAGAGTTCCGGGACAGTTAGGGCTATACAGAGGAGGAGGAAGAAGAAGAAGAAGAAGAAGAAGAAGAAGAAGAAGAAGAAGAAGAGGAGGAGGAGGAGGAGGAGGAGGAGGAGGAAGAGGAGGAGGAAGAGGAGGAGGAAGAGGAGGAGGAAGAGGAGGAGGAAGAGGAGGAAGAGGAGGAGGAGGAGGAGGAAGAGGAGGAGGAGGAGGAGGAAGAGGAGGAGGAAGAGGAGGAAGAGGAGGAAGAAGAGGAGGAAGAGGAGGAGGAAGAAGAGGAGGAAGAAGAGGAGGAAGAAGAGGAGGAAGAAGAGGAAGAAGAAGAGGAAGAAGAAGAGGAAGAAGAAGAGGAAGAAGAAGAAGAAATCTTCAAAGAAACAAAAAACCCACAAAACCACTGTAATCATTAATTTTGATTGACAACTTAATGGGATTTAAAATTCACCACTGGTTTAGAGCACTGGCTCTTGCAGAGGACCCAGGTTCAAGTCCCAACACTGACATGCTGGCTCCCAACCACCTATAACTCCAGTTTAATGGGATCTGAAATTCTCCCTCTTCTGGCCTCTGCATATACATGGTACACAGACACAAATGCAGACAAAACATACATACACATGAAAATAAATAAAGTCATGCCATGGTGGCACACACCTTTAATAAGAGCACTCAGGAGGCAGATCTCTATGAGTTCGACGCCAACCTGGTCTAACACAGTAAGTAGGACAGCCAGAGCTGTTAAACAGAGAAACCTTGTCTCGAAAAACCAAAAGGTAAATAGATAAAAATAACAGCGTAGAATCACCATGGAAAGAAATCTCTGGCTAGATCTGCAAGGGAGTGTCTAGATTGGGTTAATTAAAGTGGGCCCACCTGGATTGGTGCCACCATGCCACGGGCGGGGGTGATAGACCAAATGAAAAGGAGAGGAAGCCGAAACACCAGCATTTATCTGTCTGCTTCTTGACAGTGGAGCCGCCTCCTGTTCCTGCTGCTATACCTGCCCTGCCACGATGGACTGTACCCTCAAACTGAGCCAAAGATATCTTTCTTTGATTTGCTACTGCTAATAATATTGCAAATTGATTAGCAATTGCCATTGGTAATTGAATTGCCAATCAATAAAAGATGGGACAAACACACACAATGACAACAAACAAAAAGGAGTAGCATGAACAAATTCCTGGGTCGTGTTCACATGGGAGGGTCACGGTCACATCCCAGGCAGCAGTCACTCCTCACAGCAAACTGATGGGGGGTGGGCACTGCTGTTCTCACCCCATTTCACAGACACAGAGTGGCTGAGTCTGGCCCTAGGACGTACAGCTGAATAAACGGGGACAGGAGGAAAACTCTATAGCTGGTGCATATGACCATTGATGACCAAAGTCTTGGGGACCAGAGACTCTCTCTTCACAAGGAGACAGAACAAGTAGGCACCATAGACTGGTCTCCAGGTCTCAGGTAAACCCATTGTCACACTGAAAACTCAAATCAACTGCAGGTATAAAATTAAGATTCACGAAGGAATGTGGGCAGAGGTATAGGCAAATGAAGCCAAGGTGTCAGCCTGGTCATCCCTCCATCCATCCAGTCTTTCCCTTTTCCCCTGCACCCTGCCAGCCCTGTCTACATAAAAGACTACATTTCCCAGGTTCCTTTGCAGCACGGTGGGTGCCATCTTGGGTCATGAAGCCAGGGTCATCTCCAAAGACAGTGGTGTAACCGAGGCGACAGGGTTCTGGGTGCAACACTAGGTCTCATTTAAACCACTATACGGTTAAGACTTTCCTTTACACAGCTGTATCAGAGGTGAACACATACTGTCGTCTCCTCCTGTGACTTACCACGCTCTGAGGCTGCTCTGGAAGACTGCTTTGGGATGGTGCAGGGGGTGGGACGGGAGCTGGTGGGGCAGGAGCAGGGGGCCCTGCCCTGGCCTCGGATCCCTCTGTGATTGTGCCCAGCTCCGGCTCGGGCCCGCCAGGCCCTGGGCCGCCGTGCCGATGAAAGAGTCTATTGATGATCAGTTGGTACTGTTTCTTGTGGGTGGGGGGCAGGGCTACGGCAGGGCTCTGCTCCATGGAGCCTCTGCGCTTCAGGGGCCGAGGAATCTCTGCCAGAACGCGGGCCACCTCCTCCAGCTCAGGCACGGTCTGTGCTTCGGGTGGCAACGCTGGCTGCAGCCTGGTAGGGCTGAGAGGCCGAGTGACGGTGCCTTCATCTGCGTCGCCGGCCTCCAGCACGGGAGCCAGTAGCCCCTCTAGCTCCGGCTCTGGCTCCAGCTCGGCAGGGCACTTGAGGAGGCCTAACGAGAACAAGAGCCCCATCAGAGGAAGAAAAACTAGGAGTCTCTCAAAACCTACAACTTCCAGGGTGCAACCAGCTCCTGTGCTGTGTGACCTCAGGGCAGTTACTTGCTACACTTTGCCTGGGCTGTATATGATATATGTTATGGTAGCTTCCATTTACTGAGCATCTATATGCCAGATTTATTTTTTTATGGTGCTGAGCAGTGAACCCAGGGCACATGATAAGCATTCCACCCACGGAGCTACATCCCCATCACCCTTCTCCATCATGGAGAAGGTCAGTGACCATCTCCATTTTACGAAAAGAAATCGGAGGCTCAGAGAGGGAAAGCCACTTGCCCAAAGTCCCACAGCTAGTTGTCTCTGGAATCTGCATTCCTACCATCAACAATAAACTCAGTTTTCTAGGTTCCTAAGAATTTCACTCCCTACATCTCATGCAGAAAATTCCAGAGTAGAAGCCTGGTGTTCAAGGGCCTCTTTTTTCCTGGTCTTTGTCCACCATCCCAATGTCCCCCATAATCCTACAAGGTAAACACTGTTACGCTCTTTTCACAAGTGGGAAAAACAGGCGCAGAGAGGTAGAGCGATTTATCCTGAGTCACATAGCAAGACAGCAGTTCGGAGAGGCTCAAGCTCAACCCCTCTGGCACTGAAGGAGACGGTGGGCAATGAGCATTTTCTATGCATTGCCTTATTTTCAAGATCTGATACGGTTTTAGTACTATGTCCCAAAAGATAGGATTGTACTGGGATTCAGCGTTTATACTCAGGGAACACAGGACTCTGAGAGGCTAAAGCACAAGTCCTAAGCCTCCCAGGGCTCTGCTCAACCCCTCTGTAACCCTGGTACCGTGTTCATTCCCATGGTTATCTGGCCCGGCTCTCTGCGGGCTCTCTGCCCGGCTGTCTGGACTCGGGCTTGGCCGCAGCCGCGCAGCTGCTCTGGTCCCCAGCGTTTGTGCCGGAACCCTCTCCGCCGACTCACCTTCGTTCACGGGAGGCCAAGTCTGTTGAGGCGCTGGAGTCTGAGGCTGGGCCTGGGCCTGAGCCTGGGGCTGGGGGGGCATCTGAGGTTGGGCCTGGGTGGGTGGCTGTGGGGGTGGCTGAGGCAACTTAGGTGGGGGAGCTCGCGAGAAGATGGGGGATCCCGGGAGCACAGCCCTGCTGGCTCCATGTTCCCAGAAAGCATTCTGGAGCTTAAAGATCATGCTGAGGGGTATGGGGCGCTGGCGCAGGGCGTTGCGGGGCTGGGGGCTGGAGGGGGGCATGGGGATGCGGCTGACGGGCTGCCAGCTGCGGGGCAAAGTGCCTGAAGGTCCTGCTGAGCCCATGGTGCGGCGGTAACTGCCCATGTCAGAACGCCTGTCCGTGGCCAGAGGGGACACCTTGTAATTGCGTGGCAATGTTGCACTGGTGAGGTTGTCCTGGGGCAGGGGGAGAGAAAGGGAAGATGAGGGAAGGTGAGAGAAAGGAACTTAGACAGGTAAGGACAAAGGGGTGAGGGGAAGGACAGAACCTGTGTGTGATAGCCCACACCAGTAATCCAGCAGGGGAGGCTGAAGCAGGAGGACTGCCCCAGTGAGGGGTTGGCTCAGTGGTAGAGCCCCTGCCTAGAATCCCCCAGTGAGGGCTGGGGTGTGGCTCAGTGGTAGAGCCCCTGCCTAGAATCTCCCAGTCAGGGCTGAGGTGTGACTTGGTGGAGCCCCTGCCTAGAATCTCCCAGCGAGGGCTGGGGTGTGGCTCAGTGGTAGAGCCCCTGCCTAGAATCCCCCAGTGAGGGGCTGGGGCGTGGCTCAGTGCTATGCACTCACCTAGAATGAGCGTGAACTAGGTCCAAGATTTAATCCTCAGACTCGCACCATAAAGAGCACGAGGAAAGGCACACACACACACCCTGGACCCTCCACCTTCACCCCCTGCTGCCCACCTGCACCTCACCTTGCCACTGCCCCCCAGCCCGTCCAGGCTGCTCTCTCTCCAGGGTAAGAGCTGCAAACCGGGGGAGGCAGGTCGTGTAAAAACATCCAGCCCTGCAAAACACACATCGTTAGGATGGACTTCAGACTCCTGTAGTCCAGGTGCCCCCTATCATCAGTCACTCACGTTCATAGCTTGCTGTCTGAGAAGACTTTTTCTCATAAGCTACGTCCAAATCAGACTCGTTCCAGGCTTTCGGAGGCCTCCGGCGCAGCGTCAGGTCATCTGGGGAAAGGGGTGCATGAGTGAGGGTGTAAGCATAGGCTAGACCCGGCCAACCTCCCTAAGAGTGGGTCCCCGTGCACCTTGAGCGCGAAGCGGTGGGGCGAAGGCACTACCACCCGCGCCCAACAGGGGGCTCCCGAACGCGGCCGGTGAGTCATAGCCAGCAGTGGTTGGACGCGGGGAAGGTCCGCGCTCCGGAAAGAAGGCTTGGGGTCCCTCAGCTAGAGGGCTGCCCCGGGGGGACCCTGCGCGACTCAGATAGTCGAAGGGCGTCGAGGGACCCGGCTGGCGCAGCGAGCTAGCTCCAGGCCGCGGAGATGGCGCCCGGCCATGGGGACTGGCAGCCCCGTCAAAGGCACGGGGTCTGGGCGATGGCGCACGCTCCAGGCTGCTGTAGGCATCGGGCTGCAGATAGATGGGGGTACGTGGGGAGGACGGCCGGCCTTTGGGGGACAGAGGGCTGTAGGGGTGCAGGGACGGGGCACTCTCCGAGCGTCCAAAACGGGTCTCTGTGCTATCCGTGGGTGTCTTCTGCGGGGACCCTCTGCTGCCAAAATGCTCTGGGACAGGGCTGGTGCTGTACCGGGATATCTATGGGTAAGTCGGGTACGGAAGAGTCAGAGGAGACAATAGGGGTCAAATGGGGAAGATCAGCGTAGACAATGGAAAGTCAATGTGGAGACGTCAGAGTAGGCCTGCTGACTGGGCGCGAGGGGCTCTAGCTTGTTACTGGTTCTTTTATATGATTTAAGAAAAGGCCTTTTGCTGCATGTAAGCTTTCCCCCTTTTTTCCCCCACGTTAATCCCAGCAAAGGTAAGCGGGAGTTCGAGGCCAGCCTGATCTCTAGAGAATTCCAAGACAGCCTGGGTTGTTAGACAGAAAAATCCTGTCTGGAGCGTGGGGGGGTTGAACCTGGCTTGATGGTGCACACCTTTAATCCATGCACTCAGGAGGCAGAAGGGCAGAAGCAGGCAAATCTCTGTGAGTTCGAGGCCAGCCTGGGTTGTTACACAGAGAAACCATGACGGGGGGGGGGGGGGGGGGGGGGCAAAGCTCACACCTTTAATCCCAGCAGACACAGGTAGATCTCTGTGAGTTCCAGGCCAGCTAGGGCTACATACTTAGACCCCATCTTAAAAAATAAATTAATATAAAATTGCCTTTTTAACAGGGTCTCACAAAGCTCAGGCTACCTGAGGGTCTCCATGTAGCCAAGTGTGGCTGTGAATTCCTTATCCTCCTGCCTCTACCTCTCCAGTGTAACAGGTGTGTACCACAAGCCCTGATTTTATATGGTACGGGAGATGGAACCCAGACCTCCATTCATGCCAGGCAAGCATTCTACCCACTTAGCCAGCCTCTGTGTAGCCCAGGCTGGCCTTGAACTCAGTGTGGAGGAGTGAGGCTGGCACTGAATTGATCCTTCCGCCTTAGCTGCCTTTAGAGCAAGGAAGAGCCTACTCTCTATGCCTATGTGGCCCTCTCTTCTAGATGGCCTTGCAGAACTCACACCTACACAACCTTAGAAACTCAAGCCTCCCCTAGGGCATGGAGAGAAGCTGGCTTTGGGGGGCCAGGGCGGGGGTCACCAAGCTCACCCTAGTGGGGACTCCAGCCTGTGGGCCAGGAGGCGCTGGCGAGTCTGACCACCAAGACTCTAACTGCTTGGTCAATTCATCCACTTTGGCGGCCGCGGTGTCCAACTCCATCTGTTTCAGGTCCATGTGCTTCATGGCCAGAGCTGGGTGTGGGAGTGAAGGTCAGGACTACGCCCCCTACACCCCGTGCCCTTGCCGGGCCCTGCCCATCCGCCCCTGCCCCCAGCTCACACTGGAAGTTCAGATCCAGAAGATCACTCGCATTCTGGAAGGCTTCGCTGTCCATGGTGCCGGCCGGAGCAAGGTGCCTGCCCGGGTGGAGAACTTGCTCAGACCCTCAGGCCACGCCCCTCCAGGCGCAAACCCAAGGAAGGCGCGCAGGGTGGGGATAGGGGGTTTCTACAGTCATTAAGGTTCCAAAATGCCAATTCCTTCAAAAGCCCTGTCCATGTCCACTATCTACCTAGAAGTCTTAAGCCATTCTAGAAAGTTGGAGACAAAGAATCTCTCCATCACCCCTCATAGGGTATTGAACTGAGGCTAAAATAATTGCTACTTTAATGAATGTCCACTAGGGACCAGGAGACACCACCAGACATTTTGTTGTTGATTTTTTTGTTTTGTTTTGTTTATTGCTGTAATGAGGATTAAAGACAATGCCACATACATGTCAAATAGGGGCTCTACCACACCTTCAGTCCCTCACCGGAGAATTCTATGCAGGGCCTCTACCACTGACCCACACCTCAGTCCCTCACTGGGGGATTCTAGGCAGGGGCTCTACCACTGAGCCACACCCCAGCCCCTCACTGGGGGATTCTAGGCAGGGGCTCTACCACTGAGTTACTCCTCCATCTATTCTTTTACTTTCCACGTTGACATAGGGTTTTGTTGGGTTTTTTTGTTGTTGTTGTTGTTTTGTTTTTTCCGGATAAGCTTTTCTCTGTGTAGCTTTGGTTGGTGCCTGTCCTGGAACTCACTCTCTCTGTAGATTAAAGGCATGAGCCACCACCACCTGGCCTTTTTTTTTAATTTATTTACTTATTATGTATACAACATTCTACCTTCATGTATGTCTGCAGCCAGAAGAGGGCATCAGATCCCATTAACGATGGTTGTGAGCCACCATGTGGTTGCTGGGAATTGAACTCTGGAAGAGCAGTCAATGCTCTTAACCTCTGAGCCATCTTTCCAGTCTGGATTTTTTGTTTTTTTGGTTTTTTTTTTTTAGTTTTTCAAGACAGGGTTTCTCTGTAGCTTCAGAGCCTTTCCAGGAACTAGCTCTTGTAGACCAGCCTGGCCTCGAACTCACAGAGATCCACCTGCCTCTGCCTCCCGAGTGCTGGGATTAAAGGCACACACCATCACTGCCTGGCCACACATGGTCTTTTTAAGTATTTAGGGTGACCTGAAAACTTTATGTACCTCAAACTACGTAGGCTTCAAGATCCTTGGCCTGCCTTGACCTCCAAGACTCTTGATTTGTAGGTCTGTACCTGTACACTAAGTTTGCTGTGTGGTTTTAGTTGTGTTTTTAGATATTTATTCTATGTGTATGAGCATCTGCACAACTGCACGCTTGGTGCCATGGTGATCAGAAGAGGACGTCAGATTCCCTAGAACTGTAGCTACACACAGTTGTGAGCCATCTCTCCAGCTTGTTTTTGTTGTTGTTTGGGACAGGCTGGTCTGAAACTGGTATGTAGGTTAGAAGTACCTCAAACTTCTGCTCCTCCTGCCCCTCTGGCCTGAGTGCTGAGATTATATATAGGCTTGGAGCACCAAGTGGGTTTGTGGTACTGGGAATGGACCCAGGGCGTCATACACGCTACGTATGCACGCCACCAACAGAGCCACAGCCCTAGCCCCACTCTTCCCTTAAAACAGCTATGAGCCAGGCAGGTGCCTTCCTGTAATGTCAGCTCTCAGGAGGCAGTTGTAAAGGGTTTCTAGTTTCAGACTAGCCTAGGCTAGAGTGTACTCAGTCTAGCCTGGGCTACAGAGTGAATTCCTGCCAGGCAGTGGTGACACACACCTTTAATCCCAGCACTTGGGAGGCAAAGGCAGGAGGATCTCTGTGAGTTCAATTCTCAGCACCCTCATGGCAGCTCACAACCATCTGTGACTGCAGTCCCAGAGGACCCAACACCTTCTTCTGGCCTCCACGGGCATCAGGCACACATGCCCGACGTGTGCACACATCATGTATGTAAAACATGCATGTGGTGCACACACATACATGCATGTAAAACACTCATATACATAAAACAAAACAAATCTTAAAAAACAACCACACATGAGGCGGCCGATAGTGGTAGTGAAGGACACCGACCCACGGCTTTCATGTGCAGGTACACACCAACACACAATACATGGTGATATACTCCAACACATGATACACGGTGATATACTCCAACACATGATACATGGTGATATACTCCAACACATGATACACGGTTATATACTCCAACACATGCTACACAGTGACCTACTCCAACACACAATACACGGTGACAAACTTCAACACACGATACACAGTGACATACTCCATACATATGATACATGGTGACATACTCCAACACACGATACACAGTGACACATTCCAACATACGATACACAGTGACATACTTCAGACACAGAAATACACAGAGAGGGAAACACACAATACGCACTGCACACACACACACACACACACACACACACACACACACAAAACCTTGCCAATAAGCAAAGAAAATACAATTCAGACAGGTTGGAGTCAAGCGCTCACGCATCTGTGGTGACCCCTCCCTCCCAGGGCTTGGGAGGTGCAGGCAAGAGGATTAAGACTCATTCTTGGCTACTCAGCAAGTTGGAGGTTAGTCTAGACAATAAGAGACCCTGTCCCAAAAAACAAAGAGAAAAAGGAAGAAATAAAACGAAAGAAAAGAAAGAAGCCTGGAGTCGGATTGCCTAAGGAAAGCAGCCTTAGGCACTTCCGACTGTTTCACGGAGCCCCAGTTCAGTTCCCAGCACCCATGTAGGGCGGCTCACAGCTGCCTGGAACTCCAGCGCCAAGGGATCCAACACCTCTCCAGCCTTAGAGGGCACCTGCACTCATAGTAACATACATACACATACTTTTTATTTCTTTTTTTAAAGACATATTTATTTATTATGTATATAATGTTCTGTCTGCATGGATGCCTGCAGGTCAGAAGAGGGCACCAGATCTTATTTATGGTGATTGTGAGCCACCATGTGGTTGCCGGGATTGAACTCCCAAGCTCTGGAAGAGCAGCCAGTGCTCATAACCTCTGAGCCATGTCTTCAGCCCCCACATACACATACTTAAAAATAAAGTAAATCATCCAGGTGGTAACGGCACACGCCTTTAATTCCAGCACTCAGGAGGCGGAGGCAGGTGGTCTCTTGAGTTTGAGGCTGGCCTGGAAGACATTACTGCTGTCAATAAGAGGCCTTGTTCACGCTGACCCATTGTTAAGGGGGGGCGGAGTAGTCAGGGCCAGAGATGCAGCTTTGGTCACCAGCCAGTAGGAGGAAGCTAGGCTGGGAACCGGTTACACCAGCCATCTTTATCCCCATGGCAGCCGCCAAGCCCGCCAGCTCTGTCACCTTTTTAGCCTTGGCGGTAAAGGTGTAGGCCGTGGGGCCAGCTCGGACATGTTGACACCAGCCTGTCTGGGAAGCCACAAGGAACAGAACTTGTTGGGGTTGGTGGCTCATCTGAGCATGCGTGACCTTAAGTCCTCTCCACTCCTAGGGCAGGAGACTCCCCGGACTCTGCCTGAGACTCCACATGAGGAAGAAGGATGTAAACTAAGTACCCCCAAAGGCCCTTCTGATCTCAAAGAGGTCTCCACTCTGAAGCCTGGTACTTGCTGTATTTGGTCTCACTGCATAGCCCAGACTGTGCAGGAACTTTATTAATGGGTCCTCTTGCCTCTCTGTGGCGGGAGCTATGGACACGCATCACCATAACTAGTAAGGACTCTGAGACGGTGAAGATCTACAAAAATGGACCTGAAAGCTTAGGTGTCTACTGAAAGAAACGTCAGAACTGGTAGAGCCTCTGCCTAGAATCCCCCAGTGAGGGGATGGGGGTGTGGCTCAGTGGTAGAGCCCCTGCCTAGAATCCCCCAGTGAGGGGCTGGGGTGTGGCTCAGTGGTAGAGCCCCTGCCTAGAATGCCCCAGTGAGGGACTGGGGTGTAGCTCAATAATGGAGCTCTGTCTATTTTTTTTTAATAGGAGACTGGTTATCATAGTATACAACTTTAATACTACACTCAGAGGGAAATATATCACATTGAGTTTGAGGCCCATCAGGGGTACACAACAAGTTCCAGGTCAGCCAGGACACACACAACCCCACCATTTTTTTTTTGAAAGGCAGGCTTTCTCAGTGAACATCTTTTTTTAATTCTTATTATTAATTGTGCTTCAGGCATCAGATCCCATTATAGATGGTTGTGAACCATCATATGGGTGCTGGGAATTGAACTCAGGACTTCTGGAAGAGCAGTCAGTGCTCTTAACCACTGAGCCATCTCCCAGCCCCTGCTCTGTCTATTGTTATTGAGTCCCTAAATTCAATCTCTAGTAAAATGGGCTTCAAGTCCCAGAGTCTACCTCTTTCTAGTCTACCTCTATCTTACTCTAGAATTCTTTCACTTATTCTGCTCACAATTTCTAGTTTCCTGCCGCACTTTCTTTTTTTTTTTAATATTTATTTATTTATTATGTATACAATATTCTGTCTGTGTGTATGTCTGCAGGCCAGAAGAGGGCACCAGACCTCATTACAGATGGTTGTGAGCCACCATGTGGTTGCTGGGAATTGAACTCAGGACCTTTGGAAGAGCAGGCAATGCTCTTAACCACTGAGCCATCTCTCCAGCCCCCTCCTGCCGCACTTTCTGACGATCCCAGAACTGCGCTCTCCTGGAGTCTGCCACAAGCCAGAAACCAGAGGCGAGGATGTGAACTCTGGAGCGCCCAACAAGAGTACCTCGGCTGCTGAACTTGTAAAACAAAGATAAAAAAGTTACCTCTCTGGATCAGTGGAAAGATCTGTCTCAACAAAAGATACAAGAGGAAATCAGAGCTGTGAGAATCCCAGTCTCAGAAAGCAGAGTATAGTCGGGCCTGGCCGCACACACCTGTAATCCCAGCTTACTTGGGAGGCTGACCCAAAATGAGGGAGAGTTCAAGGCCTGGTTGGAGAGCAGAGTCCATTGAAGGGGCCAGCCTGGGCAAGCCTGTCTCAAAATAAAAGTTTAAATAAAGGGCTGGGCATGGTGGCACATGCCTGTAATGGCAGCTTTCAAAGGCAGAGGCCTGAAGATAGCCAGGCTTGTTTACATCTCATGCTCCAGGCTGGAGAGATGGCTCTGCAGTTTAGAGTGTGGAGGACCAGAGTTCCAGTTCCAGCTGCACGTACCAGCTCCAGCTGCGGCCTCTGCCTCTGAAGGTATCAGCCCTTGTGTGCACAGAGGACTGAGAACAGCTCTGCAGGTAAGAGCCTGTTCTTCCAGAGGACAAGAATTCCTCCATTCCCAGTACCGGACAGGAAGATCTTTTGGCAAATGTACCACTATCAAACTGGGTTCTGAGAGCAGGTCTGTTATGGGTGGTAGAAACACCTTGACCGTCAGGGGGCGCGCGTTCTCCGCAAGAGCAAAGGCTGAGCTCAGGCCTGGGGAATGCGAGGCGGGCCTGGGCAGGTGCACAGCTCCAAGCCAGGGAGCTGGGCGGGCCAGGCAAGGCAAAGCCTCTGTTCCCATGCTCCTGTTCCTGCCCTCCACCCTCAGGTCTTCTTCCTTGGGCTGCCCTCCAACTCTAGCTCCCCCTTCAACTGGCTCCCAGCTCTGCTCCACCCTTAGGTTTCCTTGCCCGCCTCCTCTGTACCGCAGCCAGATGCGCAGAGGCGAAGGATCCTATTGGCTTCCTGGAACAGTCAGTGGGATCCAGGTCAGGGCCTTGGGATGGGTTGGGAACACCCAAAGTGTAATCCTTCACTCTACCTGGGTCAGTCGTGCCTCTGTGGAATGGGCTAGGGGCTTCTCCTAGCCAAGCCTCTGCCTTCAGCTGGCCACCACAGCAGTTTCTTTGTCCCGCAGTTTCTCATGTGTACTGTGTGTGTATGTGTGTGTAGGGGATGGATGCCTTCACCCAGATGAGGTGTGAGGTGCGGGGGACCTAAATCATACAGTGTTTACAAGTGCAGTGTAAGAACTGAATGTCTCACGTCATGACTGCTATTTTACCAGCCTTCTTCTATGGTCCTCTAGGGTAGCACAGATGAGTGTCTGCAACCCTAGCGACCCTGAGGCAGGAGGATCTCCAGTTCAAGGCCACCCTGGGCGACTTAAGTGACGCTGTCTCAAACAAGAGCTGAGCTTCAGCTCCCAGCAGCAGAGTGCTCATGTAGCCTGCACGTGGCTTGGGTTCAGCCCCTGAGGCCAGGGGGATCAATCACACATGGGCAGGCTCTGAGCCAGGGACAAAAGCCCAGGCGCCATAGATTCTCCCAAAGAGTCTTTTGTGAGAGCTTTCGGTCGGCTGACTTGTCTGGACCTACGTAGACCAGGTTGACCCGGCCTTCAAGAGAGCCGCCTGCCTTTGCCTCCCTGTGCCGGGATTAAGAAGCATGTCCGCCATGCCCCACAGCGGTTGTGTGGGTTTCCTCGTGTGGTCCATGCTGTGCTTTTTGTTTGTTTTTTTATTTTCTAGACAGGGTTTCTTGGTGTAGTCTGAGCTATCCTGGAATTCACTCTGTAAACCAGGCTAGCTTCGAACCCAGAGATCTGCCTGCCTCTGCCCCCACCCAAGTGTTGGGATTAAAGGTGTGTGTCACCGCCACCCCGCACCCACGCTATGCTTAAACTTCCAATCCTCTTGCCCCCACCTCTCCAGTGCTAGAAATACCGACATGAAACTTGCCAGTCTGCTTTATTCAGTTCTGGGGAATGAACCCCGGGGATTCCTGCATGCTAGACAAGCATTCTACCCTCTGAGCCCATGTGCCTCTGAGCCCCGGGTTCTGTTGCCAGTGGTCTCAACTGCCTGAGCTTTTGGACCACAGAACCCCAAATTTCCCACCTGCCACAATGATTATCCCCAGGAATGCAAGACTACTGCAGGGTGAGAACCCTGAAGATTTCAGACAGAAACTGGCAAGATTCCAGGGTGTGGGTGGTGTCTGTTTGCCAGCCTCAGTTTCCCCAGTGCTAGGGAGGAGTCCTCCCTGGGGTCAACAAACTCCACTGAAGGTGGAACTCGCTGTTCCTACCTTTGGGTGATTGCCAAACGCTTCTGTGGACGTGGAGATCCATCCTGACCTGGACCTGGCAGGACAGTCTGTGTTGGCAGCTGTGGCTATTTTTTTTTCCCTTTCATTTCAGGCTGTCACTGGTGTTCTTGCACTATTAACCGCACCCTCCTTCAGATCCTTGTCCCTCCCACCCCCACTAGCTTCTTAATCCCCAACATAAGGGCCCAGAGGTAGAGAGGCAGAGCGAATAGCCTTCCTGTTCCTGCCCTCTCCCAGGCTCAAGGGCAGACACCTCCAGAATTAGCCTCTATCCCTCCCTTATCTCCCACAATACCTCAGGTCAGACAGATGGAAGTGGAGGTGACATTTCTCACCTCTGGGTCAGCGCAAGGAACCCCACCACGGAAAGAAGGCTAATTAGAAAAATCTGGTGAGAGTGAAGGAATTCTCACAGACAGCTGTCACAAGAGCGAAGGCGACGTATGGCTCACCAGTCTCAGTTTACCCTTTTCATTCTGTGTAAATGCAGCAGTACACAGCCACACAAGCCTCCCGGATTCGGCCCCGCGGTCCTGTTATTCTGGCCTGGGCTCTACAGTGACCTCAGCAAACCCCAGTTATTTCCCACCCCAATGGGGCAACAAGAGGTACGACCCCATCTCCGCTAGGGGGCGCCCTTGGTCAGATGTGCCCCCTCTGGTTAGGCAGGTCTGACGCCCCGGTTAATGACATGTTGGGGTTCGCTCAGCGGCACAGAGAGGTTGGAGAGCTGCCCCGATTTCTCATCCCCTGCCCCCATCCCAAAACTAGAAGTGGGGTGTAGCGCCAGGACATAGCTTTCTGAGGGACCCATGACCCCACCCTCGTGTCTGTCCCACTCTTTCCAAAGACCAGGGATTCACTATCCCAGAGCCACGAATTTGACGCAAAGACCTAGAGTGGCTCGGTGCTGAAGGCTGCTGGAGGGCGACCGGGGACCCAACCATTCTAGAACGACCTAACCTCCCACATCCATCCAAAAGTCAGAGATACGAGACTCACAATATTCCCCCGAGACACCTCCAAGAGTCCCCAGTTAAAGTATCCAAGAATTCCAGTTCCAATGGCCCCCCGGGACCAAACGCTCCAAGTACTACTAAGATCTCCAGTCGTCCAAGCCCTCATCCATCTACCCAGTAAAGCCGGCACTCCAGTTCTTACTTTATAGGGACCCAGGCGTGAGTGTCCCACAGTTTGCCCTGGGACCTAAGGTTCGAGGTCCCACCAAATCACCCCAGGGACGTGGTGTCAGGTTCTGGGATGGCTAGACCCCAGGTGGGGTGGAACTCACGCGTCCGGGGCAGATCCTGGCACCAGGGGGGTTTTCCTCGGGCTCCGGCTCCGGCTCCAGCGGCGGGGAGCGGAGGACGGGGCGGGGCAGTCGCAGGGAACAGGTTAGACGACGGGACTCTGACTGGAGGAAGGCGTGTCCCACAGGGGAGGGAGAGCTGCGACCGCCTCAAGTACCTTGGGATTTGTAGTCCCGGAGGGGCGGGGCGCAACAGGGGACATTTCCATTTGGAGTCAGGCGCGATCCATTTCACAGACAGCAAGAACGAGGACCAGAAGATCGAGGGCGCCCTGGACGGTGACATGCACAGGAGTCCAGACCTCCACTCAGAACTCCTGAGCCCATCCCCACACCTCTAGTCTCAGTTTCCCAGGCGGGGAGAAATTCACACGACCCAATACTGCTGCGAGAAAAGGACCCACCTTAATCAGGACTCGGAGCCCCGGCTTACCTGTCTAAATGAAATAAAAATAAGGGGCCTTTAATCATAGCACTCGGGAGTTAGAATCAGGGGCATCTCTGCAAGTTCGAGACCATCCTGGGCCACATAATGAGATCACGCCTCAAAAACAAAACAACGCAACACAAAAACCCGCCTTGGTTGCTTTACTGGAGAGCCCAGCAACAGGCTGGACTACAATCCCCAGCAGCACTCGTGGGCGAAGTCCCCCACTAGCCACCCTCGGGTTCTCTGGGAGATGGAGTCTTGGAGCCCTCAAAAGACGAGCCCGAGTTTCTAGCCCACGAGCGAGGGGGGACACATAGTCTGGTGATCCCTGGCGGAGGAACTCTTCCCTGTGTCCTTGGCCTCCTCTGAGTTCTCGAAAGCCGCAGGATAAGGGGCAGCATCACAGTTCTGGAGGAGTCTCCCAAACCTCCGCGGAGGGGCGGGACGCGACGCTGACACACCGGCCAGGAATGCAGTCGGGTCACCCTGTCTCGCCGCGGTCCCGCGACTCCACCCGCCGCCCCACGCGCTGCAGTACTGCTGGGAAGGGGCGTGGGCGCGTCCCCCAAATCCCGCGTCCACGTGCAGCTGTTTACTTGGGCCGCGGGGCAGGGAGGGGTCGGCCAGCTGCACCTCTACCTCCCTCGGAGAGGTGGGGAATTCTTCCCGCTCAGGACCCTAAGTCTACGAAGGCATCTACGAGTTTCACACGACCCACTACCCCTCACTCCATTTGGAGCCACGCTCCGCGCTTAGGGGTCCGAGACTCCTCCTCTGACCCCAGAACTCCTCCCCCTTGGTTTCCCGCTTACGCCAGACTCCAGAAACTCCGCCTCTCGTTGGTACTTTAAATCCTCTGAGAGCCCGCTCTTTTCTATTTTCCGATCTCGTCCATTCACGCCTTCCTCTCTTTCGCCACATCAGAGACTTCCCAAGACACACTCTAGCTTTGAAAGCACAACCCTGCCAACCAGAATTCTCACCTGGCTCTTACAGGAATGTCTGCACAATCGGCCTTCTGTCTCTTTAAGACCCGCGGGCGGGCTGGGTCACTGCCTCATTAAGACAGTGTTGGAAGAAACCACGTGAGCAAAGTTGGCGGGGCGGACCCTCCGAGATCCGACCAGGCTTGCATTCCCGACAAACAGGGAAGTGATTTCCCCGGAGGTAGATCGTTGAAAAATTAGTCATTCCTCCGCTGTGTACTGTTCAAAAGTGGAGATCAGTCCGGTTCCGTAAATAGAGTGACAGCGGCCGAGCCACGCCCCCATTCTCGCACGCGACTTGGACGCTTCCGGGTTCGACTCCACCTCCGGGGTCCACGTGGTAGGCAGCGTTCAGCGCAGCTAGTTGGGATGGCGGGCACCCCGGCCTCTGGTGAGTGGAGCGGGAGGGTCCTGGTGCAGAAGGGACTGGGAGGGAGGCTCCAGGAGGGAAGGGGCCTACGGGCACCTTGAGAGGTTGGCAGTGTCAAAAGGAGCCCTACACCCCGTTTTTATCACAGGCGCTACTCGGTTCTCCTGCCCCCCCAATTTTACAGCAGTATCTCCAGACTCGGATACCCCTCGTTTCTCCTTGGAGGCGCTGACGTTTCCAGATACAGAAGTGTGGCTTATCCAAGCCCCTGCAGACTTCGCCCCACAGTGGTGAGTGGTGGCTCCCACCCAACCTGCTAGGAGTACCCACACACACACCCACACCCTGGAAGCTGAACCCACCCCACACCGTGAACCTAGAACTGTAGACAGCCTTTCTGACAACCCGGAGAAGCAGCCTTATTCTGTCTAGCCCAGGCTGGTTTCCAAGTCCCAGCATTGTCTAGCCTCAGTTTCTTGAGTTTTGGAACTACAAGTGGGTGTCACATAGTCTTTTGTTTTGGAGAATCTTTTGTTTGTTTGTTTTGTTTTTCAAGAGAGGGTTTCTCTGTAGCTTTGGAGTCTATCCTGCTGTCCTGGAACTAGCTCTTGTAGACCAGGCTGGCCCTCAAATCACCTGCCTCCTGAGTGCTGGGATTAAAGGCGTGCGCAGGCCACCACCACCGCCTGGCTTTGTTTTGGAGAATCTTAACATCCTATGTAGTATTTAAACTTGGATCTTTCTGCTTCTACCTCCCAAGTACAACTACCATGTACAGTTTTATATAGTGCCGGTTATCAAATCCAGGGCCCATTCATGCTAGGCACATACTCCATGTCTGAGCCTTGTCCCTCGCCTGCCTGCCCTAAACATTACTTAGCCATTAATGATGGGGATTAGGTTTAATCTCAGCACTCAGGAGACTGAGGCAGGAAAATGGTAGGCTTCACACCAGCATGAGCTAAGGAGTACCAAGCTACCCTCACACACAGAGAGTCTGTCTCAAGAAACAGCCAGGAGCTGGGTCGTGACGTGCAGCACTTGGGAGGCAAAGGCTGGTGGATCTCTGAGTTCCCCGCCAGCCTGGTCTACAGAGTGAGTTCCGGGACAGTCAGGGCTACACAGAGAAACCCTGTGAAGCAAGCAAGCCAGAAGCGGTGGCACATGTCTATTTGCAGTACCTAGGAGGTGATCCAGGCTGATCAGGAGTTCTAGGCCTCACACAAACCCCACACAACAGAAGTTAGTTAAAACAAAACTCAGGGCTCTAGCACTGAGCTGCACCCTAGCCCAGAAAAAGCTGCTTCTAGCCCTGGCCTCCCACTTTGCAAAGGATCTAGCCAGCCTCTGCCTTCTCCCTTTCTTTCCTCAGCCTCAATGGGCGGCGTGTGCCTCTCTCTGGCTCGAAGACTGTTAAGGGCAAACTGGATGGCAAGAGGTGCCGATACCGGGTCCTTACCAGCAGCCCTCAGGCTGGAGAAACCACCTTGCTGGCATCGTCAACAGAGGCAGGAGGAAGACTCACTTGCGCCCCGGCCCCCCATGGGAGCATAAGGATCATGGAGGGTCTTCAAGAATATCTTATCTCTCGGGTCCCCCTGCAGCCCATTCCCACAAGCCTTCCACCTCAGATCCCTGCCGGCCTGCGGCCTCGGTTCTCTGCCTTTGGAGGCAGCCCTCCGGTCACAGGGCTGGGGTCAATCATGCCTCTGAGGTCACCCTCTTCAGGGAAGAGGAAAAAGAAGAGGAAGGTTGCAGAGGCCTCAGATATTCAAGAGGCAGTCAACGGGCATGGGGCCATGGAGGTGGACACAGCCTCGAGTGGCCTAGAAATGAGGAAGAAGAAGAAAAAGAAGCATCAGGTGGGCAAGGTAGAGATGTTGGAGGCTGAGACAGTAGAGTCCACGGCAGAGATGGCGGAGCCCATGGGACTGCCATTCCCATCTGCCAGCAGCAGCAGCAAGAAGAGGAAGAGCAAGTCCACGGGAGCAGAGATGTTCCAGCCAAAAGAGGAGCTGGAACACATGGAATCTGTGGTGGAAACAGAGCCTCCTGATGGGACCATCCTGTCCCCCACCAAGAAGAGAAAGAGGCAGAAGGAGGCTGAGGGGATGGAAGCAGTGGAGGCCATCGTGGCTGGCTCTCAGCCACAGATCACTGTGGAACCCCAGGAGGAAGCCATCCCACTGTCCCCCACAAAGAAGAGGAGAAAAGAAAAGAGGCAGAATTTGGTGATGGAGTCAGATATGGGGCTCCCCAGAGTGACCACAGAGCCTGAACTTTCCGAACATGGGCTTCAGGCTGAGGCAGCTCCTGTGTCTCCCAAGAAGACCAAGAAGAAGAAAAAGGAAAAGTGGCTGGGTGAGATGCTGTCCTTGGAGGCAGAGGTGTCAGAAGCTGTGCTTGCAGCTAACTTTGAGCCCCAGGTGGCTCCAGCACCCAGCAAGAAGAAAGAGAAAGGACAGGTGATAGATCCCCCGTTTGAGATGGCTGACCCAAGAGAATCCGAGGAACCTGAGGCTAGAGCAATTCAAGGATCCACAAAGAAGAAGAAGAAGAAGAAGAAGCATCAGGAAAGTGGGGTGTAAGACACTGTTCCCCACTGAGAGATGTCTCCCATGGGACAGAAGAAAAAGCAGAAGGGCCCTACTACCATCCTGGGGAAACTGAGGAACTGACAGAGCTGAGGTGGCCCAGGAAGGTTGTCAGAAACCAACTGCAGGTGTCCCCCCCCTCAAGCAAACACGTCAGCACATCCAGCAAGAGCCTGGGCCTGGAAAACGCTTTATTGCGACACTGGAGCCTCAGTGGCAGCGGGTCACCGGGGCACTTTGAGGAAGGGTTCATGGAGGACGTCAAAGAGCCTGCGAGCCTAAGGGCAGGGGAGAAAAGCTTGTCATTAAAGGCTGTCTGCTTAGACTGTGGTTGTTGCTCTTTCCTCCTAGGTTGGAGGGGCTTTGCAGGACTGGGCTCTGCTTGAGACTGCCCAGGAGGCTGGTCTCTCCACTCTTTGTAAGTGGCCCATTTATAACCATAAAACTCATCCATTTGTGGTGGCCACATCTTTAATCCCGCACTCTGAAGGGTCTACAGAGTGAGTTCCAGTACAGCCTGGGCTATGCAGAGAAACCCTGTTTGGAATAAGTAATAACTAGAATAAGTCAGGAGGCTGGCAGGATAAGGATCTCAACACTTAGAAGGCTGAGGCCAGAGATCAGAAGTACAAGGCCAACCTCAATTTGAGCTACTTGAGAAAGTCTCAAAAAAACAAGTAAAAGAAGCAAACAAACAAATACAATTTGAAACACGGTGTCAAGAGTCCTAGGCTGAGGGGCTGGAGAGATGACTCAGAGGTTAAGAGCATTGCCTGTTCTTCTAAAGGTCCTGAGTTCAATTCCCAGCAACCACATGGTGGCTCACAACCATCTGTAATGAGGTCTGGTGCCCTCTTCTGGCCTGCAGGCATGCACACAAACAGAATATTGTATACATAATAAATAAATAAATATTTAAAAAAAAATAAGAGTCCTAGGCTGAGCTGGGAGGTGGTGGCACACACCTTTAATCCCAGAACTCAGGAGGCAGAGATAGGAAGATCTCTGTGAGTTTGAAGCCAGCCTAGTCTATAAGAGGGTAGGCTCCAAAGCAACAGCAAAACCTTGTCTCGAAAAATAAATAAGAATAAAAAATCCTAGGCTGGCCCGGCTAGCTATTTAGCCAAGGATGACTTTGAACCTCGGATCCTCCTGCATTATCCAAGTGCCTACCACGCTCAGTTTACGCAGTGCTGGGATCAGTCAGGGCTTTGTGTGTGCCACGATGGCACTCTACCAACTCAGCTACATTCTCAGCCCCCCAGAAAACTCCTACAGAGCCTTTTAAACCAAGCATGGTGGCTCATGCCTGTGATCTCAGCAGGGAGAAACCGGTGGAGCTGAGTTCAGACCCAGCCTGGTCTATAGCAAGATTCAGGCCAGCTAGAACTCTTAAGACCCTGTCTGAAAACAACCACCACTTAATAACGGTGGTTCTCAACTTCCTAATGCTGCAACCCTTTCATACAGTTCCTCATGTTGTGACCCCCAACCATAAAATTATTTTCATTGCTACTTTATAACTGTAACTTTGCTACTGTTATGAATCGTAATGGAAATATCTGTTTCTGATGGTCTTAGGTGACCCCTGTGAAAGGGACGTGCTGCCAGGTTGAGAACCTCTGATTTCATACCGCTTCAGAGACTAAGGTTCCTTAATTTGGGGCCTATCCCCACCCCAATCTCTGTAGCAGCCGCCCCGAGTTCTCACCTTCTGGGGGCCCAGGCCTGGGCACAAGGCTAGATCTTCCCGTGAGGCAGTGAAGAGCTGTTCAAGGGACTGAAAGGTGAAATCAAGGAATCAGGGGCCATGTGCTCTACAACAGCTTGTCCCTGCTGCCCAGGATGTCCCCAGGGAGGTGTGGGAGTATGGGGAAGTGAGAAGCGGACGCCAGGGGGCCTCTTACTCCAAATGTAGCCAGGAGGGTCTGGCTGTCGGTCTTGTTGACTGACTTCACAGTGGTCAGACACTCCGTAGCCTAGAGGAAAAAGACAGGATGTTTTCTTGGGCCTGGGAGTACTGCTTAGACTGCAGGGGCAGGAGGAGTCCCGAAAGTTTGAGGGCAGCCTGGTCCACAGCCATTTTCAGGCCTTGTGGGCATAGGGAGATACTGCCTCTGCCTCCAGAACAAAACGGGGACTAGAGAGATGGCCAGTGATTAAGAACACGTCTCCCTCCCAGAGGCCCCACCCTGGGTAACTCACCTTTGAGACAGGGTCTCCTGATGTACCCGACTGCCCTACAGTTAGACCAGGCTGGCCTGAACTCATGGAGATCCACCTACCTCTGCCTCCTCTGTGCTGGGATTAAAGGTGTGCGCCACCACTGCCTGGAT